GGGGCACTTCACCTTTGAGCTACATCCCCAGCCCTTTTTAGTTTTTGTTTTGAGACAGCTAAGTTGCTAAGGGTGGCCTTAAACTTGGGGTCCTCCTGTATAGACCTCCTGAATTGCTGGGATGCCAGCCATACACCACATAGCCTGGCTGGAATTTGTTTTCTTATAAAGGAAAAAGAATTTACTTGAACTCTAATATTTCTATTTCCATTGAGAATTAAGCCAAGCATGGTAGTGCAGCCCTGTAATCCAAGCGATTCAGGAGGCTGAGGCAGGAGGATCTCAAGTTCAAAGCCAGCCTCAGCAACAGCAAGGCACTAAGCAACTCAGTGAGAGAACTTGTCTCTAAATAAAATACAAAATAGGGGTTGGGGTTGTGGCTCAGTGGTAGAGCGTTCACCTAGCATACACAAAGCGCTGGGTTCGATCTTCAGCACCACATAAATGTAAAATAAAGATACTGTGTCCACGTAAAACTAAAAAATAGATATTAAAAAAATAAAAATAAAATACAAAATAGGGCTGGGGATGTGACTCAGTGGTTGAGTGTCCCTGAGTTCAATCCCCCATACCCCCTAACCCCCCCCAAATTAAGAGTTTGCTTGGAAAGTATTAGTAACAATTTATCTTAAATATTAGGTTTTTATTACCTATTGTTGTATAAAAACAATAAGCCCAAAATTTAATGGCTTAAATAAAAATTTAAAATGCCATGTCTCTAAAGGCTCAGGATATTTCTTTTCTCTTTTGGGGGGGTGAGGAGAGGGACTGGACACAGGGTGCTTTATCACTGAGTTACATCCCCAAACCCCTTCTCTTTTGGAGACAAGGTCTGGCTGTTATTGAGGGTCTCTATAAGTTGCCCAGGCTGGCCTTGAACTTGCAATCTTCCTGCCTCAGCCTCCCAAGTTGTTGCAATTACAGGTGTATGCCATGGTTCCTGGCATCTCAAAGCATTTTAAATCATAGTTTCACCTAATATGTCTCTCTTCATCATAGGAGGCCTGTGCTTGGTGCCTGATAAGTGAGCCCATTTGGCATTTTATCCCATTATTTATGTAGCAAATTGGAATGAAAAGGGGAAGAGACTGCCTCAGGGAGTACTATTTTCAAATTCCATGTTCTTGCCTCCAGGTGTAATGAGAACTTGAACTAATGGCTGATAAAGCCATGCTCTGCTATATGGCTAATGGACTCTTGAAAAAACATACTTAGATGAAAGTATTCTAGAATTAGTGGCGATGATTGCACAACTTTGTGAATATACTAAAGAAACATCGAATTATATACTTTAAAAGGGTGAATTTTATGTGAATTATATCTCAATAATTTTTTAGAATACTTTTTTAGTTGTTGATGGACCTTTATTTAATATTTATATGTGGTGCTAAGAATCAAACCTAGTGCCTCACACATGATAGACAAGTACTCTACCACTGAGCTACAACCCAGCCCTCAATATTTTTTAAGGCACACTCAGAATTAGGATCCCCACAGGGGATGTGTTTGGGGGCTGTGTTTGGGGGCAGAACAACCTGTCTACCTCCCTTGAGGTCACCAAGGCTGGGGTCTTAAGAGTCAAACACTGCTCTGCCAAGTTCCATCTGTGTGTCCTTGGGGAAGTTACCCTCTCATACCTACCTCATGGCATGGAGAAGCCTTAGAACCATCATGTGTACTACAGGAACTCAGTATATGCTGCCTCTCATCATGGTAAAGAAGTCTGCAAAGAAGTATGAAGCTTGGCAAGCAGAGGTCCACTGCTCCCCACAAAGCTGACCTCCTGAGAACACAGCACATCCTGGTGCACCAGGCAGTTCAGGATCTTTTAGAGGCTGCCCCCAAACCTTCCATCTAAATTTTTGTCCCTGACTTGAATTACCTTGAACCCTAACTGGTAAGAACAGCTTGGATTCTGCTGTCCTTATCTTTTCCTGTGACTTCTGGGCTCTTATCCCCACTCCATTATAGTTTAAACTCAGCTGAGCCCTCAGGAGACACTAAGCCACCTGCTACCTTTCTACATATACAAATGGTCAATCTGCAGGTTCTCTAGGCATTAAATTCTTATGTATCTTGAATATTTCTTAACTCTCCTGCTATTCTAAATTCTATTTCTCTGTCAGACTTCACTGTTTGTTACATAAGAATTATGTATTTTTACTATTTGCTGAGGAAATTCTCCCCTTTAAAAAAACTCATAAATTTCTTGGCTTTGTTAGTTTTCTTATATGAACTGCAATTCTATTTTCAAGCTGCCAAAAAAAAAAAAAAACAAAAACAAAAACATCGACTGGACAGTTGTGTCACTATTAGCCTTCTTTGCATGCATAGGTCTTCTCATTTCTATCTATTATCACATTGCCTGGTCAAATTTCAGTATTGTTTGTTATTTCTAGGAATTTTATGGGTTTTGTTGGGATCTATTTCCTGTTTATTGCTAATGGATAAGAAAACTATTGATTTTTAATACTTGCCTCCCTATATAATTATTCAATGAGTTTTTCAGTTATTTCTCTTGGTTTCCTTGGGGGAAAGGGAGTATCTGTAAAGATTTCTGGCTTCTAAGAGTTCTTACTTCACTTTGTTTCATAATCATGCTTCCTAAAAATGAGTAGGAATGTTAAGTCAACCTGTTATATGCCCTAACAAAATGGAACTCTGGAAACTAGTTTTTTACATCATGTTTGCTTTCTAAATCCAGTTTATGAAAGTATTTGACTAATAGCAAACTTGTATTTACTAAGAAAAAAATTTACAATGTTCACAAAATAGCAATTGCATTTACACAACCACTGTAGGCCCTAGGGCAAGAACTCCTGACATAAACTACTTCTAATGCTGTCAGAAGCCTGAAAATGAAATTAGTTAAGTGTCTTCTCCTGTGCCCTGACTAGAAGCTCTATTAGCATACTGAACCCTCAGCTTCAGAGATGGCGCCCAAGTTACCATGAGAGTTTCTAATTCTAGTTCCTGTCTACCTAGCTCCTGGTCTAGATTGATGCTGTCTCCCAGATAGTGAATGAGCCTGCGAATTAGATAAGAAAATCTGGTCTGGGTTCCTTGAAAATAACAGTCAATCTGTAACCCCAGCAACTCACAAGTTTGAGGCTAGCATGGACAAGTTAGCGAGAGAAAAAAAAAAGGCTGGGATGTACCTCAGTCAAAGAGCACCTCTGGGTTCAATCATTAGTACCCCTCCAACACATAAGAGTCAACATTCCCACTGTAATTTTGTTTAAGTGCCAATTGCTAAGTGAAGTACTCATATAATAGATAATACCAAATTTAACTATCTTAGTTAACCAGAAATGCCTGGCATCACAGTGTTTGGATGAAAGCACAGCAACATTACTCAGAAGTTCATCATGTTCTAGGGACAGGCTATCACTTAAATTTATTTCCACAGTTGGCTTCACTTGGCATTGACAGCAAAAGATTTTCTAACAAGCTGGACAAGGAAAGGACATCCATATAGGATTTGGGTTTTTTCCCACATGGTTGCGTGGGTTTAGAAAACCTGGTTTGATTTCAGCAAATTTCTTCATTGGGCTTATACAAACAAAACACTAGCAGGCCACCAGACTCTTCGATGAAAATGTATTTCACATTAAACAGAATGTTCACATCATGCACATGAGGCATCACCAGTCACAATGGTTCTGTGAGGTACAACAGATCACAACTGCATAGATTTCTAGCAAAATAAAGTTGTAAGAAAGATGGCTAGGCATTTTTTGAAAGTCAGACCATGCTATCATTTTCTGTGTGCTTGTCATAAAAGGGATTTTCGCCCTGGTATTCATCAAGATCAATAGAACTGCATTATTAGAGGCATGTATTTTATTTAGTATATACACATACACAAACATACACAGTTTCCATAACTAATAAACTCTTAAACTGTAGCTAGCTTTAAAAGCACATGAATACGATTGCTATTGAGATATCTTTATGTCTCCTGATTGCAAACCTCTCTCAGAATTATAAATCTTTCCAAACCTCTTATTGTACAAGTCAAAATAAAGTTTCAAAGAAGAAAAGGTCATTTTAATCTGAGTCACATTTTTCCACAGGAAATGAAATTAAGAAAACACAGCATTATATGGCATAAAATGTGTGGCGTATACATTCTAGTGTCATTTTTCCCATTCAGATTTTTTCATGTTAAAGTCTATTACAGTGATGTCCTGGGACCAAGTGGAGGCCCCCTTATTTCAGAGCACTATGATTTTTATTTGTGCCTGGATTTATTATAGTTGGGCAAACACAGGAGCAAACCGAGAAAACTCCCAAGATACGATACAAAAACAATAGCAAAAACATGAAAACCAACCACCTGTACATGAGATGCATAATTTAGTTGGAAAGTCACTCATGGTTTGGAGTGACTTCAGTTTGGAGATTTTAAGGTATGACATCAAAGATGTCCATGTACAAACAAATATGCATAAGACAACAGAAATTATTACGGACCATTTAATGCTTCCTTACTCAAACACACTTATTACATTAACCCCCAAAAGAGTATAATGTAGGGCAATGCAGGTGGCAAAGCTTATTAATAAAAAAGACTTCTTCATAGTACTTTCAAACAGAGAAACCCCAGAGGGGGAGAAAACTCCAGAATTTCTTTTCCTTATAAACAAAGGGAGATGTGCAGCCCAAGCTGAATACATGTTTTAACTAGAGTTTGGGTAAATGTCTAGAATATTTTACAAGAGGAGACATCTAAATGTATAATATGTGCTCCAACTCTGGGCATGAGACTGGTCATGGAATGAACTTCTGAACCAGCATCATTCAGGTTATTCAGAGGATCACTATGATAATACAGAAGGACAGGAAGTGTTTTAGCAGCAGCTGAAGCTCATAAGTAGAACTGTAAAATGAAACATTGCTAAAGCCCAACAAGGCAAAAGCCTCTAGGTTTCTACCATGAGAGGCCAGGGTTTGACTACCTAGGAATACAGTTACATTCTGATCTAATAATTTGGAATCCAGCTTAAAGGGTGACAGAAGCTTCTTCAGATGACCGGCAGCTGATTTGACTACCGGGAACTTCACAGGTTTTCCAAACACCACCTGTATCAATTCAAAAACAAAGCCAGGTGAGACCAATGCAGAAACCAAGTATTTTGCACTTGGTAATTAGGTTTAGGTTTTCCTTGGCTCATTCAGTATTTCTCAGCAGAAATACTGCTGCATTTTGCACAGGACAATTTTTTTTAGGTTGGTCAAATTTTCCTTATGTGAGAGTGTCCTAAAACCTTCAGATGTTTTGTGGATTTTCTGTTCTTTACTGGACAGTGAGGTAAACCAACTTAAGAAAAGCTTATTAAAGTCAAGGTATGCTAATGACAAAAGAAGCCTCTTAATAAATACTAAGCCGTGAAACTGTCAAGGAAACAATGTTCAGGTGAAATTAGTGTTTTAAGGGTCCAAGAAAGCAGCTTCTTCTCCAAACTAGGGACATAGTTTACTCTAGAAGTGATCTGTCAGTATGGGGTTGGAGCTCAGAGATAGAGTGCTTGCCTCACAAATGTGAGGTGCTGGGTTCAATCCTCAGCATCACATAAAACTAAATAAAATAAAGGTATTGTGTCTATCTACAACTAAAAAATATATACGTATAAAGAGAAATGACCTGTCAATCACCTCATCTCATGTGTCAAATGACTGCAGCTGCTTTTCCAAGAATCAAGAGGCAGGGACCCTAAAGTTCTTATCTACAGGCAAGAGCTGAGGTCAGGTGGAAATAAGCAAACAAAATACAATGACCTCAGCCATGTGGCTTCCCCAACCTGTTACCTCATTTCAGAAATAACAAGAAGTCTATGGTACACCACTCCGAACATGCCCCGTCTCGTTTGATCTTGGAAGCTAAGCGGGGTAGAGCCTGATTAGTACTTGGATGGGAAAAATAAAAAGGTTGGACCAAATCATTTTAGACATCAAATTATGTTACAGGAGTGGAGCATCAAAGAAAATAAAGTGAAAGAATGCAGAGAATATAAAAACATTTGAGCTAAAACTGGTTGCCTAATATGTTCAATCTCCAGTACCACATACACACCAAAAAAAAAAAAAAGGGGGGGGGGAAATAGCAAGAGGTGTGATACGAATTAAGTTGTGAAAGGATTTGGTGCTAGATCGTATTTTGTTTTCATTATTCAAAACAAATAAGTCCCAAATTTAAGTAAATCAAATATGAAATGTGTGTATCTAAGTATATTCCTACTCAAATGAGAGGGGTTAGGGTATAGTTCGGTGACCCTGGGTTCAATCTGTGGCACACACACAACCACACACACACAAAAAAAAAAAAAAAAGAAAGAAAAGAGCCTCTAGAGTGCTTTGACAAGAAAAAAGGTCAAGGGTAGGGGAAAAACTTTCAGTGCACAACCTGTAGCTCTTTCCTCTTACTCCCTCAGGTATGATCTAGGAACAGATGCCTCTGTTTTGGAAGAATCCAGAAAGGGTCTAGAGAAGAGCCAAGCATTTGGCCTAACACTCATCAATGTATATGAATGATGAAGGAAGAGAAGTTCATTTTACCACCTTGTAATATTTTAAGAGCATTTTCTCCTTACCTCTGAAGAAGGTGCTACTTGAAACAACTGGCAATCAAACCTTCCCTTCCCACTTACTCCCCAGAACAATAGGGTCTATGAATCAGGCAAGGCATGGCACTGGAGGCTCCCACAGGAAGAAATTCCTTGAATTTCATAGCATTTTTCATATATGCTATAGTATATACCATATTTGTGTTTGTATTTTGCAAATAAAATTAGTCATCCAGAAGGCTGAGTGATGTTTATCCTATCTTCACACACTCTAGTTGGGAAGGTAAGGATTTAGAGTATCATCAAAAGACTGTACCTTTCATTAAAGGGATGTTGTATTTGTCAACAGAAGGAGTTCAGAGTAGTTTCTTGGCCAGGACTGTTAAATCCTTCAATAAGGTTTTTGTTACAGTCATCCAGGCTGAGATTTTCACTGGATCTCTTGGGGAACGGGGGACCAGTGAAATCTAAGAGATCTTGAAGTGCTCGGGCATTACCAGTTCCATTTTGGTCCAGAGACATCCCAGGAATCATTTCACTCACTGGTGAAAATTCTGGGATGGAGATAAGTTCTTCTTTGGAAACAGGACTAGAAGAGATGAAGGAGAGATAGGGAGAGACAGATGGAGGGAGAGGAGAGAGAACATGAGAACTAAGCACACTATGTTAATGTGCTTCATTCTATTTGTAATATTTTATTACACTCTTGTAGAAAAGATAAATGTAGAGACAGTTTATGTGTAACACATCATAAAAAAATACACAAGTTCAAGTCTGAGAAGTGGGTAGGCACAGGCCTCTGTGGATGAGAACAAGGGAAGTAGACCAAACAAGATGTGCAGGCCAAGCTTATGCTGCCCAAGGAGTGAAAGGAAAAAAAACCTACAGGCACTGACACTTTACTACAGGGTAGCAAGGTCCTTCCAGAACTTTCAGAATAGAACAAACAGAAAGCAAATACCAAAAGTGAACTAAGGAAGGGCTCTAATTAACACTGGGGCTCCTTGTGCTGCCTTTCTAGCAGTGCTGCCCTGGGCAAGCTGCTTTTCCTTCCCTGGATTTAGTTTCCACCCCTATAAAATGGGAAGAACAGTAATCTCTCCCTCTCAGGGTTCCTGTGAATATGAATGTGACTGTGTTGGGAAGAGTTCATGGAGAACCATGTGATGTGGTGTGGTGTGTGCTCAAGGAGTTGGGGTGCATCCATCTAGTCACCTGCTGAATCAATCTCACTGCTTCTTTTCTAAATCCTGACTTAATCAGTTTGCTCAGCTGAACCCCCCACCCACCTCCTCCCTCTCCCTCCTCCCTCTCTTCCTAGATATGGAAGGAGTTGCACTGCTGCTGTCTGCTATAGGCCTAGCAAAGGAGCAAATCCAGGCCCAGAAGAGTGGTGGGCTGGGAATTGAGGATATGTCCCAGGAGTCCTTTAATAGCCACAGTAAGGTTGCTGCCAGGCTCTTCTTTTCTTCCTTGATGAGATCTTACAGATGAATCAAGAAAAACCAGTTGAACTGCAGAAGCTCAGTGGAGCCACCTCCCTCACACCTGAGCCCAGTTAAGGGGCAACAGCTGACCTACAACCACCCCTGGTGTTTGAAGTCTGGGAAAACTGCCTCATTAAACAGAAACATCCTGCTTCATCTTCATCTTTCCCCACCTCCATCCCCTGCATTTAAACTGGTCAGAGAAAAGAGGAGAAAATGATACCACAAGTTCGGGTGTATCCACCAAGGTCACATCACTCTCTAAGTGAGAACATAGTATGATAAGCCCCTTTACTTTCTTGAACTCTGGTCAGAGGTGCCACATCTTATTCCCTTCCCTCCCCTAACAAGACATTAAAGAATAAACACAGCTGGCTCAATATGTGGGTGGAATATGTTGGGTTAACCCTTCAGATTGCCTTAGTTGTTTTCTGCTGGGGACAGAGTGGCACCAACTAGGAGAAGCCTGCCATGATGGTGGTGAGGGATGGGAAGACCCAGGTGAGGACTGAGGGGCCCTGCTACCATTCTACACAGGATTTTCTCTACTGATGATGTCCTGGATTTCACATATCTAGCTTGAGCCCTGTGAGGATGAGTGGAATATTGACGATTAGTGTTACAGGAACCCCACCTCCAGACTAAGCAGAGAACTGACAGTCAAGGACAGAAGGTAAACTGGCAGGTTGGAGCTCTGGTAGTGCTTTTACAAAATATTGTCACACTCTCCTAATACAAAGAGTCAACCCTTACTCCAACTACCCTACCAAAAGTTGTCCACTCCAATGCCTCTGCCTCAATCTCATACCAATAGATTCTTTTATCTGGGATTAATTTGCCAGATGATGTCATCTACAAAAATGATACAAGTTTATGAATTCCTTAGATTTTTAGGATCTGAAAGCAATTTAGTTCCTTTATCAAGTCTGCAATGACAAGTTTACTTGTGGAGACACATCACTCTGGACACAGGGAATCTTGTAGATCCTGGCAAGGTCCCCTTTTCCTATAGGTGCATCTATCCCCCCAGACACAGAGGGCTGGCTCCTAAACACTCAAAATTGCCACTATTTCTCTGGACAACTTCCTTTAGCTGACAGGCACCCCCATGATCATGGTCCTGTATCCCCTAGCCAAGAAACCCACAGTAAATAACTGATGGATACAGTGGTACAAATACCATATCTCAACTGAACAACTCTCTGGTGGAAATTCATCCTGCAGAGCTCCTATGCTACTGTCTGAGAACACATCCTTACTTAGTGCCTTCCCTTCTGCCCACTCCTCCTGAGAATCCTCCCCTGCTAAATCACATGCCCAGGCTCTGCTTCTAGGGAGCCTAGTTCGAGATAATAGTATTATATCATTGATAGCTTTCCTATAATGTCAACCAGATCTGATTTAGGTTATTGTATTGTATAAAAGATGGAGAAACAAACTAAAAGACAGTGGTGGTGTTTGGAAAAGAGATGAAGTGTATATGTAAAAGAAATTGACATACCTCACATCCATAGACTGAACTTCTTCGGTTGAATCATCCAGACTGTTTGATTTCCCATCAAGGGCATCCAGATGAACAAATGCCCCAACTGGTTTAAGCCCATTAGAAAAAACATCTCGTGGAAAAGTTTCTGGGGCAGCGCGCCCCACAGCATTAACCTCCTGGCAGGTGTTCAATCCATTGATTTCTGATCAAGAACAAAGTCCTTTCGTGAATCATAAAATATACAAAACGAAATTACAGGAAATACATAAAAAGGTAATTAATTTAATCCTCTGCTTCACTACTGATGCAACATCTTCCGTGGAAAGAACCACCAACAGCCCCATGTAATCACCTTCACATGGGGGAAGAGATGACACACAGCATTATTGCAGGGCCTTGGTAGAAGAGCAAGACCAGATCTTAATAACATATGACCAGTAGTTAGGCTCCCTGGAAAGCATCCTGGGCCAGTAAGACTGTGTGCTTTCTGTGCCAAGATTAAACAAGGAAGCCAGCGGTTTTCCAAATACAGTCAATAGTCCCTGGGCTTTAGAGATGCTCCAGGAAGAAAATCTGCTGTCAGCCACAGCTCTGGGACCCACATGTGCCCCTCCTTCACAGGAAGCTTTATGGACTCCCACTATTAAAGGAAAAAACACAAGCACCAGACCTCACACTCACCTATTTTGTTGGGGACAACTGGTTTTGTCTTATTTTCCACACATAGAACAGGCTGAATCTCCACTTTTGAGTCTTCTTTCTGAAAACAAAAAGAGAGTAGATGAAAAGAGGGAAGGCTGACATTACACAGGAAAATAAATGCTTTTTAAAACCACCAGGAGAAATCTGGAGCCCTGCTGGGCCATCTGCCTGTTCCATGATATTTCTTTGAATTTTCAGCTGTTTCCCTTATCACCATTCTTTTTGTATTCGTGCACTACTGTGACTCTCCTTACACCCCAACCCCACCACTTTGAGAAAAAATTTTTTTTTTTTTTTTTTGGTACCAGGGATTGAACTCTGGGCCACTCAAACACTGAGCCACATCCCCAGTCCTTTTTTGTATTTTATTTAGAGACAGGGTCTCACTGAATTGCTCAGTGCCTTGCTTTTTGCTGAAGCTCGCTCTGAACTCATGATCCTCCTGCCTCAGCCTCCTGAGCCGCTGGGATTACAGGTGTGTGTCACCGCACCGGCTGAGAAAATCTTTTAGCTGCTCCATCTCTGAAATTCCTCCTTCCTTTCAAGATCCTATTTCCTCTTTAACCTGGCCAGAAACAGAGCATGGAGAGTCCACTTTTTTTTTCCTGGCTAATTTTCTCTGAGACCTACAACTTCACTGAATGTTTTCTGCAGTTCTTTCCTGCTGGTTACATAATAGTCTTCTGAATTCCTACCTTCACTTCTGGAGACACATCACTCTTCCTTGTTCTCTTCATGATTTCATCTATTCTCTGTAAACAAAACAGGCGAGAGGACCATAATACCAAAAATATAAAATAGTAGTTGGGTCTAAATGCAATTTCACATTTCTGAGAAGACTGGTAAAAGACAAATGTCAGCAGAGGATAAAAAGCATGGAAAGGTTTTCCATTGTTTTTGTAGATGGGTTTCTCTGGCTCTACAAACAAGGTCAAATGAAGCAGACTAGTACATATCCAGGATCAATAATCTATATCCTATCTTTCTCCTTTCTCTCCTTTGGTTCCCTATAAATTAAAAAAAAATCACCATCTGCCATTTTAGAGAATCACCCTCCAGAAAATGAAGCTAAGGTTAGTTCAGGAGAGATGTCCATAGATTCCCAGCTCCTAGATGTAGGTATAGCATTACAAAGCCCAGGTTGGACCTAGGATATCATGAGATTGGAACTTTATAATCAGCCACCTTAAACCCAATTTTATCTATAAATACATTAAGTGTAAATGGACTAATCACTCCAATTAAAAGGCAAAAAATGTCTTTAATACCCTGTATTAAAATAGTAAGTCCTGACTATGTGCTATTCATAAGAGAGATTCTTGTAAGGACACACATAGGTTCAAAGTAAAAAAAAAATGGCAAAGATTTACCATGCAGGTACCAATCATAATAGGGCTGCCAAAACAGACTTTAAGAAGAAATAATACTAGAATTAAGAAGGGCATTTCATGGTAAAGGGATCAATTCAACAGGAAAATTTAACAATCTAATGTGAATATTCAACTAACAAATAGGGCTTTAAAACATAAAACAAAACTAACAGAACTGAAAGGAGAAGTAAATAAATTCATAATCACAGATGGAGATTTTTAGATTTTTAGATGATTTTTTAGAAAACTAATAAAGTTATAGAAGATTTGAACAGCACCACCAAGGAAACTTGACCTAATTGACAATTTTAAGAACACTGCACCCAGTCATTGCAGAACAGAGCTGGATTAACTTCCTGTTCCTGTCTCATCCTAAGTCCTCCTGATCCCCAAGCCTTACCTTCTTCCTCTCCAGTCTCTCCTGCTCAATCTGCAGCATGATTTGTTCTCTTTCTAGACGCATCTGTTTAGCTGCCTCCTGGGCCTTTGCTTCTGCTGCTTCTTTCTGAGAGCAACAGGTAAGCCAAAGCACAGGCTTTATTAAACTAAGAAAGCATTGTAGAAATTCCTGGGCTTTGCGTAAGTCCTTTACCCCATTATCTGCCCCAAAGTGGATGAGGCACCAATATTCAATGTAAATTCACACAACCTGCTCTATGATAGAGGAGATACTGTTGGGACTCATTCATATACCCTTATCCCACCATGAAAATCACCTGCAAGCTAGTTTTCATACATGGCCCAGGTCTTTCTATCCGTGGGTAAGCTCTGGCCATGAAATGTGTATATAGCCAGAAATTTCCAGGAGTTATTCCTAAGGAGAAACCTTCCACAAAAAGGGGCAGTATTAGTAAATAAATTGTCCAGTTTCCTCATCCCCTAGACAATTCTAATGCATGATCCCAGTCTCTCAGAGGGTCCCAAAATCACTAAGTTCCAGGGGCCCACAGTAACCCACTCATGGATGTGCTTGTATATTGGCTTTCCACTTTCTTCCCTAGCAGCTTCATGGGATCCCCTCCCAAATAAACTACTGGCCCCCAAATTTTATCCTTGGGTCTGCCTTTGTGAAAATCCAAACTCACAGACAGCAAATATTACCAACTTCAATTGTATTTAATAACTAGCCCAGATGATTTAAGAAAAAACTTCAAGTAACTATTACGAGTAATTCAAATTTAATAAAATTTACCTAATATTAAGTAAGGCCCTTAAAAAAAAAAAAGGAAAATCTGAGGATGACTGTACCTGCTTTTCAATCATGGCTTTTTCTTGTTTTTCTTTTTCTTGCTTTCCTTTCAGCAACAGCTCCTCCTCTGCCTTCTGCTTAGCCTCCTCTCCTGCCTTTCTTCTTTCTTCCTCTTCCTGCCATTTCTTTTCCTCCTCTTGCTTACGGGCTGCTTCTTCTAGGCGCAGCCTTTCCTCCTCTGCTTTTCTTTTCAATTCTTCTCTCTCTAGCCTTTTGAGGACATGATCATCATTAGAAGAGGAAAACATGCTCAAAAGGCAAACTGCCAGGGAACTGTGTCCTGACAGTAGTGGGGAATGCTCAACACATAATGAATACATGCATTTGAATTCGTATACACTTAATAAAATGCCTCATCTTTCCCAGAAATCTATTTCAGTTCATATGCTTACCAAAAAATATTAACCAGGCTTGACTTTAACTCTTTTTTTTAATTTTAATTTTTTTATTGGTTATTCAAAACATTGACTTTAACTCTTTACTACAAAGAGTAACACTTATTGACTTGTGAAGACACAAAGGTTCCCTCATTGTTCTATAAATGAAGACAAAGGAGACCAAGCCTGATCATTTTATTCAATGACAATTTTTTTAATTAAGCAGAATAAATATTTAAAAACCAAATAAAGATAGAAAATGGGAAGTGATGTAATGGCTACAAATATGCCAGTCAGCAATTTAAGAGCAGTGACCATGAGCTCAAAAGTTCATTTGGGGGTTTAACTGGTATGAGACTTCTGAAGCAGCCAATGAAAGAAAATGCTCAACAGAACTTCAACATTTAATGCAGAAATAAAAGCATCTGTTTTTCCATTTGACTTGGCAATCTTTAAAAAAATCTATTTTAGCCTTTAATTTGTGCTATATGAAAATTAAGTGGCATTTAGACATTGTCATCCACAAATGAATGGTTCATGATATAATGACAAAGAGCTCTAAGCAGTGAGGAAATATTCTATAAAGTCTAAGTGCTGGTTTTTACATTTCAAATGTTCTGGCTCACAAGTGCATCACTGTTAGGCACTGGCTAATCACTGTTAATGTAAACACCTGGTCAAGACTCAAGCTGAATTCTGATTGTGCCACTTGGTGCAAGACACTTGCAAAGTCACTCAACATTTCTGATGCCCATTTTAAAAATGGAAATAGCTATACCACTGCTTGATGGAGTTACTGTGAGGATTCAATAATGCATGGGGATGCCTGGCCCTGGAACATTAAAAAATGTTGGTTTGTTTTACAAATTAAAATGAATACTACCTTCACCTCCAATGTTATTTTTTTAAAAAAAAATTTAACATTTTTCTGTTTTTATGTGGTGTTAAGAATTGAACCCAGTACCTCACCCATGCTAGGCAAGTGCTCTACCACTGAGCTACAACCCTAGCCCTCCAATGTTCTTTTATTATTTTTTAAAAATATTTATTTAGTTGTAGATAAACACATAGTATCTTTATTTATTTTTATGTGGTGATGAGGATCAAACCCAGTGTCTCACATATGCAAGGCAAGTGCTTTACCACTGAGCTACAGCCCCAGTCCCCCTCCAATGTTCTTTTCATCTATAAATCTATGTTTTCAGAAGTTACCTTTATATAGAAGCATGAAGTGTTATGTTTCTATTTAAAAAAATTTTTTTTGGTACCAGGGGTGCTTAACCACTGAGCCACATCCCCAGTCCTTTTTAAAAAAATATATTTAGTTTAAGGTGGACACAATAGCTTTATTTTATTTATTTATATGTGGTGCTGAGGATCGAACCCAGGGCCTCACATATGCTAAGTGAGCACTCTACCACTGAGCCACAACCCCAGCCCCCCAGCCCTTTTTTGTATTTTATTTAGAGATAGGGTCTCACTGAGTTGCTGAGGCTGGCTTTGAACTTGTGACGCTTCTGCCTCAGCCTCCTGAGCCACTGGGAAAAACCTAAAGGCATTATCCCAGGAGTATAACAGTATGAGATAATGTACTCTACACTAATAGAGGCTACAGTGCCTAGGAGTATTTGTGGAGCACCTAAAATTATGAATAAATATTCTCCAGAAGAGTATCGCAGGGCCTAATCACAAAGAAAACTTCTGTTTTCTTAGATTCCTTCATGAAAGATAAAGTATACCCCACATAGGATTAACAAAAATGGCTGTGTTGATATCAAGATTTATCCAAAGATCAATCAGAACACTGCTTCATTTCTTATTCCTTTTTAAAAATTCAGTTGTGATTGTCTTAGAAAAGTTAAAATACAAAGGATACATAGTATATGAATCAATGTACAAGCTACTTCACAAAGAACCTGTAATCTGCATCTTCAGAATCTGAAAATCCACTGCTGCTTCTGTTTATATCATTAGGACTTCAAGGTGCCCAGACGCACATACATGTAGTAACATTCTTGTGGTTCCTTATTTTCCATAATTGCCTAGGAATTTTATGAGTTCCTCCCCAGAGGCCCATAACACCCTGTTTGTCCTTTTCATCATGCGTTCATGGAAATCCCATCCTTTTAGACAAAATTTCCTCCATTAACCACACTTTGCTTTCTCCAAAGTAGGTAAAAACTAGTATGCATGGGTGCATGCACACACAAACTCCAAAAAACTGGTTTCCACTGTGTAAAATAGGGTCCTTTGCAATCCTCTCCAAGTATGAACATTCTCTCCCTGCTTAAGGAACCAGAGAGAGCACTATTGCATTCTTTCCTCCCACCAGCCCTCTCCTGTAGGTCACCTGTAGCCCACCACCTTTGCCATCATTATCAAATTCCCTCCATAGTACACAAGGCCTGAGGGCAGTTCTATCATTCTTTCCATCTTTGTTGTTGTCATCCCTCCAAGTCCCATCCCTCCACCTTACTGACTTAGAAAATACCAGAAAACTGCACATCACTGTCATCATTTGTTATTTAATTGATGTATTCCTTGTCCCTGTCCATTGGTGAGGGTCTTCATATAACGGCTCCTGTCACGAAACCTCTAGTACCTCACCCCCTTCTGTCTCATCCTGCTCACATCACTGACATATGGTCAACCTTGAATTGTTTAATCTTGTGGATGAGTATGTGGGCTCATCATTTTCATCCCTATGTGCTTAAAAGTTTTCATTAGAAAAAGGTTAACCTTCCATGTCTTTCTCTGCTGACCTGCCTGGTAAAGCCTGGACAGTTGATTTGCATCTGCTTTCCTTTTTTTCTCACTGTCCTCCAGGACTCTGATCCCCTGCTGAGCTTTTCTGTGATGGCATGAAGGTTACTCTGTTGTCCAATGCTGGGCCTGGATGGCCCCCAGGACCACTCATGCCCCTGCTGGGCATGAGATCAGCACCAGTTAGAGAATGGAATAAATAAAGGTGACTGGTCATGTGCCCCTTAGCCTTGGCTGTGCCATTTTTTTAATCCTTATCCCTTGGTCCCACATGGCCAGTCCAAATTACTACCTTTTCTTAGCTTTTGTCAATCTCCTTAGTTGATGGCAGCACTAACCACTTTATAGAGAAGACCTGATCTGAGCTGCTGCTGCTGCCTTTTTTTTTTTTTTCTTGTACTGGGGATTAAACCCAGGGGTGCTAAACTACTGAGTCACATCCCCAGCCCTTTTTATTTTGAGACAGGGTCTTGCTAAATTGCTTAGGGCCTAAGTTGTTGAGGCTGGCTTTGAACTTGCAATCCTCCTGCCTCGGTCTCCTAAGTTGCTGATATTATTACAGGCATGCACTACCACACCCAGCTAATCTGAGCTTCTTAAACTGTGCTCCTTTATGGCATTACAGCTGAGAAATTTCACCCTTTCTTTTCCTAAATGCAAAAGGATTGTAAATGCTACCATTTGTGCTATGAATTCCAGGCTGTTTCTCCAGCTAGTCTCTCTTCCTTCCAATGCCAGTTTTCCTCTTTGAGATGTACCTTTCCATGGCTGGCAAAAATATTCAGGTCTCAGGCATCCCAAGGCACTCTTGGTCCTCTCCTGCCAGCCTTCCACTCATGATTGCGGAACGGCCAGCTCACACTCAGAGGCTCCACACTCTCACCTCTTTCAGGGCACTTCATTTTTCCACCCTTCTTCTCAATAATTTCCCTCCAAAATTCTCTGCTTATCTCCTAACCCAAGACCAAGTCTTCCCTCAGCTTTGACATGTCTTAAAGGTGATGATAACATCAGACCTCCCTCCTACAAGGTCCTCTCTATAACCTTGTGCCATATGAGGTTGTGTTGTCCTGGCTTCCTCCTGCTTCAGTTGCCCAACAATGCCCAACATCGGAGGACCCCCACCTACCCTACCTTGCACCAAAAACCACCTGTTACCTGGAGGCTCAGACAGTGAGAAGTAGCTCTGATGAGCCCTGGGGACCCCTCTGCCTGCAGTTCCAGGTCTGGGGCTCTCACCTGGACATCAATCATATGACCTTGCTCACAGGGACTGCTTTTCTCAAATATTCTTTGATGTTCTTTTTTAGCTTCTTCTTTTCTTTTATTTTTTTGAGGATAGAATCCAAGGTCTTGTACATGCTAGGCAAGTGCTCTACCACTGAGCTACATACCTGACCTCTATTTCGGCTTCTTAATGTGACTTCCTGTGATCCATTTTGTAATCCCAGTAAGAACTCTTACTTGCTAGTTTTTACCAGTGTCTTCTCTAGAGTGGAACCAAGGTCTAAGGTTGTCTGCTCTAACTCTAGGAATCCCACTGTATACCTTGGGCCTGTTTTACGTGTTTCTAAGAGAGCTCTGATGTCACTGCTGGTTGGGACTGGACCAACTTTTGTTCTTTTGGGCCTAATTATCTGGACTCCTGGTTGGCCCTTCTATTAAGGGGAGTTTCCCACATCCCTGACTTGGAAAGTGTATCCCTCACCAGCTGGTGACAATAATTTGGCTTTCCACAGTTTGACTAAAGTATCTTTATTTTTCACTATATTCTCTCAAATGGCAACCACATTTCTGTGATTTTACTATTGACTCTAAACAACACAAAACAGATGTGAGGATGATCCTATTCCAAGAGGTGTCCGCTGTGTTCCAGCCCCAGGCTGTCTGGTACTTTCCTTTCTCACCTTGCATGTAGTACTACGTAAATGCTGAGGGCCATTGCCAAGTAGGAATGACACATCGAAATTTCCTTGCCAGCGTACCCCATGTTAAATGAAAATTTGCTGTGACATTGCATGTGTCTTTGAGAAAGGTGACCCTGCTCAAGGACCAGGGTGGATCCAGGTTTAAGGTGTATCCTGCAGGTTTTAGGAAGTATCCCGGTTTAAGGTTATTGCTGCTGGGTATATGGCGTTCCCGCTGCCTGAGTTCCCATTGAGTTCTTGTGGAATTCAGAAAGTATTTTGGGACGTGAATTGGCGGGCAGAACCTGGATTTCCCCAGAACGTGTTTGTGTAGAGGCCGGTGTGAGTTCGGGAATAAAGAATTGCTATTTGAATCTATAAAGTGTGAGTGGCTCGTGATCTTGTGCCCAGCCAAGACTGCGGCACGTAAAGCTTCACATTCTGGCAAGAGAGAGGAAAACTGATTTGGGGTCAAGTGTATCAGTCTCATTTTTATTTAGGCTCCAGGTTTCAATTCCATTTCCAATTACCTAGGGATTCTGCAGACACCTTAAACTTAGTAAACTACCTAAAATAAAATGAATAATTTTTAATTCTTTAAAACTAATTCCTCCTGCCCTTCTGTTATCTATTATTGGGTATACCATTCTCCCAAGTCCTTTGAATCAAACCTTAGCATCAACTTTGAATCAGCCCACCTCTTCTGAGTTGTCTACTTGACCTACTACTGCAATGGTTTCTTAGTCTTTTCCTCCTTCTCTTCCTTTCTCATACATTTACTAAGTATCAGGCACCAGCCATCCAAAGACTGCACCTCAGCTTTTTTTTTTTAAATATTTATTTGTTAGTTTTCGATGGACACAACATCTTTATTTTTATATGGTGCTGAAGATCGAACCCAGCACCCCGCACATGCCAGGCGAGCGCGCTACCGCTTGAGCCACATCCCCAGCCCCTGCACCTCAGCTTTTTATGGTGCTAACTGGGAAGAAAGTGGCCTAAAAATACATGAAGCTGTTGGTCGGCTGACTACTGGGCTCAGGAAAGGTGAAGAATGGGGGAGGGGTAGTTCTTTTCCCAGGGAAGAGCCAGACAGGCTATAGAGGAGTGAGCTTGAACCACAGCTTGAGAAGGAAACATGTCTGGCAAGAAGCAGCACAAGCCCATGTGGGGCAACAACAAGGTTTGGAGGTGTGGAGCTGTGTGGTGGGGGAATGTCAAAGGGGGTTGCAGGCTAAAGCCTGGAGAGAAAGAATACAGAGAAGCAGGGAGTGGCCAGTTAATGGCAGTCCTTTAAGGACTGTCGATGGGTTTGGGTGGATTCTGTGGGCAGGGCTTGTTGAAGGACAGGATCAGAGATCAGAACAATCACACTTCTTTAAATGAGAAAGGTCACTGTGGACAGTGTATATGGACAGTAGACGAGCCCCCGAGAGACCTGGAGCAAGGTGCTCAGATAGTATGCCCAGACACTATCTAGGTAAGACAAAGCGAGCAAGAAGGGAAGAGATATAACAGAGGTACTAATGCAATAGCCAATAAAGATTGATCTTACAAATGATGGGATGTGGAGGAGCATGAAAAGGGAAGAACTGAGAGTGGCTCTGAAACTTCAGACTTAAGTACAATGATAGATGGGGGTGCAGGGCTCATGAAAGAAAAAGGAAGTTTGGGTGAAAGATACTCATTTATTTTTTTAAATATTTTTTTTAGTTGTAGTTGGACACATATCTTTATTTTATTTACTTATTTATATGTGGTGCTGAGGATTCAACCCAGGGCCCTGCACGTGCTAGGTGAGCGCTCTACTGCTGAGCCACAACCCCAGCCTGAAAGACACTAATTTCTATTTTAAGAATGCTGAATTTTGGGCTGGGGATGTGGCTCAAGCGGTAGCGTGCTCGCCTGGCATGCGTGCAGCCCAGGTTCGATCCTCAGCACCACATACCAACAAAGATGTTGTGTCTGCCGAGAACTAAAAAATAAATATTAAAAATAAAATTCTCTCTCTCTCTCCTCTCTCTCTCTCAAAAAAAAAAAAGAATGCTGAATTTGGGGATGTACATGGGACACAATCAAATGAAAACATAAAGTAGTTGGAAATACAATCTCTGGGTTCTAGATAAGTGCTATTCAATAAAACTTTCTGTGATGAAGAAAACACTCTGTAGAACTGTGCTGTCTATTATGATAGCCACTAGCCGCATGTAGCTACTGAGCACTGAAATGTAGTAATGTGGGTAAGGAACCGGATTTTCCTTAAGTGACATTTCAGTAGTCACATATGCCCAGAGGCTATGGTAGTAGACAGTGCAATCCTAGAAAGATCCCAGGCCACAAGCACTGGTTCAGGTCTTCAGTATGTACATGTTATCTAGTTGCCCCTCTTGTTCCACAAAGTATGAAAGGTTTATGAAGAAAGCTGCAATTACCTTCAGAAATGGATAATAGAATGAGGCAAAGGGAAAATAAAGGTAGGAAGGGAGACCAGAGCAGAGCTGTTTAGCACACCAACAGCTCAACATGAAATTACTGTATGAAATGTGAGCCCTAAATCTTTTGAAGCCAGAGGAAATTGTTAGTGTGGCAGAGACAATGGCAGAACAGGAGTGAGCAACACTATTCAGGAAGGGCTTGTCAGGTGAGAAGCCAGTTAAAGACTGAGGGTTGGGAACCCAAGAAATTTTTAATGGATAAGAGGTCAGATAAGACTCAGAAGGACATCCCAGAAAAGCAAGAGTAAGCTCAACATGGTCAAAGCAAACCAAGAATTGTTTAGGAGTCTGGCAACTAGGAGGGACGGTGGTCATAAGATTTGAAGAATAAGTGTGATTTAATGAAATAAAGATAGGAAGTATAATCAATTCTTTTGGGCTATGAAGGAAATATGAGAACAAGGGTGGTAGCTGAAAGGTGAAGAACTCCTTCCTAAGCACAAGTAACAATCATGTCACTCACCTGCTCTTTGACACGATATCTCCAGGGTCTGCAATTACCAAGTCCTATCATTGGAGGTCCTACAATTCATCATATCCTGTGATTTCCCTTCACATAACCTGTGGCCCACCCAAACCAGCCTGAACAGATCACTCAATAATAACAAAAATCTGTCAATATTGACCAAAAAGCTTGAGTGAGAAAATAAATAAGTCCAGAATTTGAAGAGGGGATCAGCCAGACCTACCCCCTAACCTTTTAATAAAAGGTCAATGGCTAGGGATATAGTTCAGTGGTAGAACTCTTGCCTAGCAAACACAAGGTCTGGGTTCATGTCCCAGTTACACAACATAAAAATAAAAAAATAGATCAGCAGACCTGTAATTAAGAGATCACAAAGACTTGGCAAAGTTACTAGGGATAAAAAATATACTATTATTTATTCTTTTAAATTTAGTGCTGGCCTTAAGTGCTAGAATACTGCTTGCTTTCTGTCATGTTCGCTCTCTCAACAGTACTGGATTTCACTCTGATTATTCTAAGAGTTTCCTCTATCAATTTAGTGACAAAACTGACCTTGTCCTTTACCATGTATTTCCCTCCCTCAACACAATGATCAGCAAAGGCAGGACTGTAGACTGTGACAAAGTGCCCTACCCTGGTACAATCACTATAGTGGTTCTCAAACATTGGTGTATCTCTAAAACAGAACAGGGCTTAGGCCAGTACATTTTCACTGTTACCTGAATGATTCTGATACCCTCCAAGGTTTAGGGACAACTGTAATGACATCTTTTGTCTTGCTCTAGCATAGGACTTCCCTATACCTCATTGCTCATGGTTATGAAATTAACTCCCTCTTACCCTCATTTGGGGAGCCTGTCCAAATCTCTCACTTTGGGGTATAAGTAGGATAAAATAGAGAAAACAATTTGGAAAGCAGAATCAAGATCTCTACATCCAAGACCTTCTGTCTTCCCAGGGAGAATCTCATTCTATAAACAAACCTCAAAACTCCCCTGGTAGCTCCATAAGGCCTGCCTGGTTTCCAGGTCCAAGAAGAGAAAGGGAAGCTACCTGTAACATTTAAAACCAGGAGCTATGAGTTTCCAAGTCCTCTGAAAAGGTCTGTTAATTACATCTAATAGAAGATTCCATCTCCTAAACACTTTCATTGCAGTCCAGGCACTCTAGGTTCCTTTACTTATGCTCAGGTTTTAGCAGTAAAAAAAAAATGTAAAAAGAATAGGCAAGCTGCTCTTTTCAGCCCAGCCTTTGCATGAGATCACACCAAAACTCTGAGCACCTGCATACCTTTCTTGTTCTTCCTTCTCCAATCGTTCTTGCTCCTCCTGTTCCTTCTGCAGCCGAGCCTGTCTTCTCTTCTCAGCTAGGATCTTTGCAGCCTCTCCTGCATCAGTGGTGCCTGCTGTAGGCTTCCCCAAGGCTATATCAAAGAAGAGATGGCAAGAGGAATAGATCAAGGGAAATGAACATAATGATTCCATTCACACAGCAGATGCCACTTGGACATGAAAAATCTAATACTGTGTGGTGATGGGAAATGCTACCAGGAGAGTGTTACAATTATCCACTAAGCAGGAGAGACAGGACCATAAGCAAGTCATGAACTCATTGCAACACAGGCTTTAAGAACTCTCGTGGAGCATGCTGATTATGGCTAGGTACAGCCTGTATTCCTTAGGACTCCTGTGGGCTTCCAGAACCAACAACAGGGTTAGCCTCTAGGTCTCCTCCTCCAGGGGACCCTCAGGACCCTCAGTCTCCTGAGGGGCAAGACTTAGGAGCAATGGGCAAGTCTGAGAAAACGGTATGAGATGAAGTTGTCCCAGTGGGAAAAAAACCCTCTCCCGCAAACACAAGAGAATGACATATAGATCAGGTCAGAGGGACAACTACCTAGGCCCAGGGGCAGTGTCAACAAAGAAGGTCTACCTGTATTGCTCTCAACCTTCCCTCCTGTGGCAGCATATTTCTCAGTGGCATGCTTGTCCTCCACATGCTTCTCCACCATGTGCTTCTCGGTGGCATGCTTATCTACCACGTGCTTCTCAGTGGCCTGTTTGTCTGCCATATGCTTTTCGGTGGCATGTTTGTCTGCCACATACTTCTCTGGAATTTCCTCTCCAAGATGGCCAGCAGCCTGACTTGAGGCACCTTCCTTTTCCTTGTTGCTCTTCTCTTTCTCTGCTTTCTTCTTGGGTGTTTCTTGGTTGGGAATGGGGGGAAAGCGGTACTTCACAGGAGACCCTGGGTATGATGGCTTCACTGTCTTTGGAGACTGAGGATATACTTTTGAAGTTGTCCTGGAAAACCAAAAGCAAGCCATAAGATGATTTACTGGGCCTGACCACAGAACTCAGTTCCTAATATAGTCAATTCCACAAAGTTTAATAATTCCATTTTTCTAGAGGAACAAATGTAGGGCTTTAGCACACACTCAAAAGTATCAATAGTATTTTCCCCTTACAGAAATATATGGTATTTATACCATGGCCCTGGTGAAATGAAAATATTTCCCCTTTTTATTGGTGAGAAAGGAAATATTTTAAGGAACCCAGCTGATATCTTAATCTCACTTATGTCTGATGACAATGTAGGGATGGTGATATGGTTTGGATACCATTTATCTCCCAAAGGTTCATTTGCAAAAAGACTGGTCCTGATATAACTGTATTGAGAGGTCGTGGTAATTTAAAAGGTGGGGCTTAGTGGGAGGTAGTTAGGTCATGGAGGCACTGCCTTCAAAAATGGATTAATGTCTTTCTTAAGAAACTGAGTTAGTTCTCTTAATGGATTAAGTTTCTTTGCAGTGTGTTATATCTCTCAGAACTGGATTATTTACCATGAGAATGGGTGGGCTGTTAAAAAGTGGGTTAGCCTCCCTCTGTCTCACTGATACACATGGTCTTCCACATGTGCCCATTTCCTTTGTACTTTTCTGCCATGAGATGATAAAGCATGAGGGCCTTATCAGAAGACTAACAGATGCTGGTACCATGATCTTGAACTTCCCTGACTCCAAAACTGTGAGCCTAAACAAACCTCTTTTATTATTACAACAGAAAATTGACTTAAATAGATGGATTGATAGGCATTTTCTCATTCCTTTTTTCAGATGAACACCACAGTTGGATCTGGCTTTGGCATATAACAACGAACAAGATGGCTCCATTTTTAATATTTATTTATTTATTTATTTATTTATTTTTAGTTGTAGTTGGACACAACACCTTTATTTCACTTGTTTATTTTTGTATGTGGTGCTAAGGATCGAACCCAGGGTCTCGCACTTGCGAGGTGAGCGCTCTACCGATGAGCCACAACCTCAACCCCAAGATGGCTCCATTTTTAAAATCACGACAAAATATATATAACATAAAATTAACCATCTCAACTGTTTTTAAGTATATAGTTAAGTATATTCACATGTTGTACAACCATCACCCCAAACACTTCCATTAAATGATTCCACATTCTCCTCCCCCAGTCCCTGGCAACCACCATTTTACTTTCTGTCTCTATGAAATTGCCTATTCCAGCCCTGGCTGCTGAGAGCCATTGCCAAGTAGGAATGACGCATCAAAATTTCCTTGCCAGCGTACCCCATGTTGCTTAGGGGAAGGACTCGTGGAAATGGACATTTGAAGTGACATTGCATGTATATTTGAGAAAGGTGACCCTGCTCAAGGACCAGGGTGGATCCGGGTTTAAGGAGGATCCTACTGGATTAGGGCGGATCAGGTTTTAGGGAGTATCCCGCTCCTTGGGTTTAGGGCGTTCCTGGTTTAGAACAATCTGGGTTTAGGGCGGTTCCAGGTTTAAGGTTATTCCTGCTGGGAATACGGCTGTATCCTGCTGCCTGAGTTCCTGTTGAGTTCTTGTGGAATTCAGAAAGTATTTGGGATTCAAAGCCTGGTGGAGTACTTGAATTTTGCAGCAGAACGTGAATTTCCCCAGAACGTGTTTGTAGAGAGCCGGTGTGAGTTCGGGAATAAAGAGCTGCTGTTTGAATCTACAAGGTGTGTGGTGGCTCATCATTTTGTGCCCAGTCAGACTGCGGCACCTGGCCACTCGTCCACACAGGTCCTCTGGGTGCCTGAGCAGGACCACTGGCATTAGCACCTGTACAGGACTCCTGGCCGCCAACCTATGCAGGAATCCTGGCTGTTGTCCAACACAGGAACTCAGGCCGCCACTCCCATGTGTACCCCCATCTACCAACGTGGGGCTCCTCTGGTTGCTTCCATCATGGGGCACTGCAACTACTGCCACAGTCCCCTACACACAGTAGCCTGCACCTGGGACACTGCACTGGGTCTAGAGACAGCTGCCAGCTACAATAATGCATGCCATAGAGCTGTACACCATGCCACAGACCGGCCTCACCTGACCCCCAGACACTCCATTGCTGAGAGCAGCTGCGTCCATCTTGGGACACCTTCGTCACCATCTTTAGTTGGGGCAGCTCCCAGCTTAGAACACTGGCTAGGGCTTAGAAGCATTATCCAGGTACCGAAGAGTCCCCAACTCCCCACTCTCCCCGGCAGCTGCTAACACAGCACAGTGCCTGCGGCTATGTGTCCAGTCTATAGCCCACAAAACTGGGTCACAAAACCAGGTCCTGAGCTGCCCAATATAAAACAGCTTTCCACAACAGGTGGGATGCTCCCAGGACACAGCCCACAAGACCTATGGAGAGAAAGGTTCCTGATTGGGAAATAGAAAGGGAGGGGGTGAGTGAGATACAGTTTAGAGACTACATTAGAGACCAAGAATTGTGAGGTCTACAGGCAATATAAGAAGATAAGACCAGGCACCCACATCACACAAGCAGGGCCCCAAAGGAGATCCCTAGACCAATCCTCCAACCCTAATAACCTTCACCATCCTGAGGGTAGAGATACCAGCAAACAACAGACAACCCCACCTATTGGATGAGAAGGGAAGCTGGAAAGATACTGACCAACAAAAACAATTCTTGTTATCTTCCTTCGAGATTTTTTTCTCTCTCTTCTACCACCATCATATCCAACATAAATGAAACCAAGTACTTTTCATAAATTAGGCTACCGAGGACTAGGATGTCTGAATAGTATATTACAGTGGTGTTGTATATTCATTTATCTCCTATTTTTACTTTTCTTAATATATATTTTTGTTTTATGTACTCTATTGTCTTCCCACTTACTTGTCTACCCCAAATCACTTTCTCTCTCTTCTCCTTCTACTAATCAACTTCTTCACCCCCAGTTCTTTGTCCACCATCAGAAACTGTAGACCCTTTTGCAAACCTACTGCTCATATTGTAGTTAATAATTGAACTTACCGTTCAATATGATTCAAAACTATATATGACTCAATAGCAGATATATGGTTTAAGATTATATATTGTTTGTATTGGGATCTGTTCTCCCCCTTAAAGGAGAGTTATTAGAAATCTGCAGGGACACTATAAGCCTACAGAGTAAAAACTGTAACTCCTGGGATCTACACTTCTAGATAGGAAGACACAAACAACATAAAAAACAAGGGAAGAAAGAGCCCCCAGGGCTGGGGATGTGGCTCAAGCGGTAGCGTGCTCGCCTGGCATGCGTGCGGCCCGGGTTCGATCCTCAGCACCACATACCAACAAAGAGGTTGTGTCCACCAAAAAAAAAAAAAAAACTGAAAAATAAATGTTAAAAATTCTCTCTCTCTCTCAGTCTCTCTCTCTCCTCTCTCACTCTCTTTAAAAAAAAAAAAAAAAGAAAGTGCCCCCAACAAACCAAGATATTACATCATTTGAATCCATGGCCAACATAACAGAAGAAATGACAGAGAAGGAGTTCAGGATGTACATAATTAAAATGTTCTGTGAATTATAAGAGAGCAAATACAGGCAGCAAAAGATCATTTTCATAAAGAGCTACATAAGCAAATACAGGAAGCAAAAGATTACTTCAATAAGGAGATAGAGGTTCTGAAAAAAAAACCAGAAATCCTTGAAATAAAAAAAATCAAATTAAAATCTCAAAATAAAGTATCACCAACAGATTAGATCACTTTAAGGACAGGACCTTAGACAATGAAGACAAAATATATAATCTTGAAAAGAGTATTGATCACCCAGTGAAGACGGTAAGAAATCAAAAGCAGAATATTCAAGAATTATGGGATAACATAAAAAGACCAAATTTAAGAATTACTGGGATAGAAGAAGGCATAGAGTTCCAAACTAAAGGAATGAACAATCTATTAAATTAAATAACATCATAAATTTTTCTAAACATGAAGACTGCATTGGAAAAATCAAATACAAGAGGCTTACAGGACACCAAAGGTACAAAATCACAACAGATCCACACCAAGGCACATTATAATGAAAATGCCTAGCATATAGGAGAGAATTTTCAAAGCCATAAGAGAAAGGAATCAGATTACATTTAGGAGGAAACCAATTAGGATATACGCAGATTTTTTAACCCAGACCCTGAAAGCTAGAAGATCCTGGAACAACATATACCAAGCTCTGAAAGAAAATGGATGCCAACCAAGAATCTTATATCCAGCAAAATTAAGCTTAATATTTGATGATGAGATAAAAACCTTCCATGATAAACAATAGTTAAAAGAATTTACAACTAGGAAGCCTGCACTACAGAACATCCTTAGCAAAATATTCCATGAGAAGGAAACAAAAAACAACAATGAAAATCAGTAGAGGGAGGTATTACACTAAAGCAAAGAACAATCAAAGGAGAAACAAAGTTAAACTAAATACCAAAAATAAACAAATATGACCCAGAATACAAATCATGTCTCAATAATAACCCTGAATATTAAAGGCCTAAACTCACCAATTAAAAGACATAGACTGACAGATTGGATTAAAAAAAAAAAAAGACCCAACAATATGCTGCCTTCAAGAGACTTCATCTCATAGGAAAAAAAAAATCCACAGACCGAAGGAGAAAGGTTGGGGAAAAAACATACCACTCACATGGACTGCAGAAACAAGCAGTGGTTTCCATCCTCATATCAAATAAAGTAGACTTCAAGCCAATGTTAATCAAAAGAGATAAAGAAGGACATTTCATACTGCTTAAGAAAACCATATATCAACAAGACATAACAATTATGCCCCCAATAATGGAGCATCTACGTTCATCAAACAAATTCTCAAGTTCAAACAGACCACAACACAATAATTATGGGTGACTTTAACACACCTCTTTCACCACTGGATAGATCTTCCAAACAAAAGCCAAACAAAGAAACTATAGAACTAAACAATAAAATCAATAACTTATAGACTTAACAGACA